AAAAAAAAAAAAAAGTTTGAGTCACTTCAATTATCTTCTGTCAAGAGAAGTGGTAGTTACTCTTGAACAAAGATAGTGCCCTATCTTTGTACCATTTCAGGAGACTCTTGAAAACAGGGCTGAAGGGAAGTCAAATTAGAGTCCTCCCTAATGTTTGAAGGTGCCTTTATGTTAGTTTGTTGAGACCTCCAGCAAATTCTAGTGTGAACATTTTTATAATACGTTTACAGACCTATAACTAAGTGGCTTGAATTGAAGGTCCATAGGAGATGGTGTGTCATAATGGAAAGAATACAGGTTTTGAATTCAGTCAGATCTGGAATTGAATCCTGTCTCAGCTTCTTGTTACTGTGTGATCTTGGGCAAATTACTTAGTCTTTTTGAGACTCAGTTTCCTCACACCTATTAAGGTAACTGTAAAGATTAGAAATAATGTACTTAAGGCACTTAGCACAGGGCCTGGAACATAGGCTCTCAATAAATGCCATTATGAATAATAAGATCCAGATAGCAACATCCAATTTATTAAAGTTATAACTCTGATTGTGTTTTCATTGATTTCAGTGTCTTATAAAAGGGTTAAAGTTAAAATAATTTAATTACAATAGTTTGTTTTATTACCATCAAGTTCACAAAAGTGATCCTGTGAATCATCATATCTTGCCCAGTCAATGAAAGCTTCTTTGCTTTGAATACTATGGGAAGGAGGAATGAAAAAGAAAAATGATTAAATTTGAAGTTGAAAATGTTAACACTGTATTCTAATTTAATCAAAAATACATAATCTGAGGTCACTTCATTATTAATTAGATGGTGTCACAAATTCAGTTATTAATAGTTATATGAAGAAATGATGAAAACACATTATATGAAAAACATAGATTGTTAACTTCCATGAGTGATTTGTTTCTTAACTATATTAAAATTATTATTAGACCTAGGTCAATAATAATTACTTTGACTAGAAAATCAATTTACAAATATATATAAGATGTAGTTATACACAAAATTCAAGCTGGCCTTTCCAACTGACTTAGAAATTGTAGTAAATATTTATTATTTTTTCCTACAGTAGTTATTAAATTTACTTTCATAATTGCTTTAATTCAAACTGCTTCTGTACTTATAGGATTCAAAATACCAAGAATTGCATATCACTTGTAATACTGATGTCACTTTTATCATGGTATACCATTCATTTTACATACTACCTCACATTTAACAAAATCTGTGATCAAGATTTCTGGTTTGGAGAACTGATAAAGGAACAACTACATTCACTCAAATAAACTTTGAGCTACATTTTCTTTAATCTATATTCAGACCTTCTTGACCTGTCTTGAATGTATGATAGCAGCATCTATAAGAATATTTTCTTTATTCACTACGCAAAAGGAAAAAAAAAAAAAGGTAAAAAAATTGTGTACCAAGTATAAATCAGGTAATTTCCAAATGCAGTACTGTCACAGGCAAGAATTTATTTTGTATTTGAGAAACTGCTGCATAACATAACCACTATAAGAAGTATATAAGGCTAGCTGCACTACATCAACTTTATCAATAATTTTTCCAATTCAATTTACTGTGGGATTTTTTTCTCCTATAGGAATACATAATTAACTTACTAATAAGAGTTAATAGAAAAATTTGTATCGTAGTTGACTCAGTTGAAATATACGATACCATAAAACAAGAATGCCTAAGTTCTAGTTACAGCTAAAATAACTATAGTTATGTTTAATCAGATATGTCTTCTGTTGAAAATAGGAAAGAATAAAGCAATTGTGACATAAATTCCTATTTTCTTGTTAGCAGTATGACTAACTTAAAGGAAATTTTTGCCTTGAGCATTCTTATTTGATGAGGCTTTGCTGATTGTTTCATCTAACCCCTGCCTAAAGTGATGGCAGCAGAAAAGATATGGAATGCCAATCTAATGCTAGTAGAGCTGGCCTCATTTAGTTTATAAATAAGTTAGAAAGAACCTTTGAGGCCATCTAGTCCAGACTTTTTAAAAGTCAGTCTGAAGATGGATGCCAAGCTACTTATGTAAGAATTTCTTGGGCTTACCCCAGGATGTCAAGATGGTGCTATGAGTTAAAGTAGCAGTCTTCAAAGTGGGAAACACAGGGGCAGGAAGGGATGGGATGGAACGATTACAAAGGGGCACGAGAAAACTTTTGGGGATGATAGATATGATAACTATCTTGATTGTGCTGATTTTCGTGAGTATATATTTGAAATTATACATTTTGAATAGATGCAGTGTATTGTATGTCAGTTATACCTCAATAAAGCTGTCTAAAAATTACGAATTGTTGGAAAAGTTGCAGAATGAGGAACTCTAGGGTACTACTAATGACAATGTAATAGTCATTTTGGAAAACTATTTGGCAGTACTTAATTCCATTCCTAGGTATATTTTTCATAGAAATGCATACCAAATGCACCACCAAATGTCCACCAAAATATTTTCTGGAATGGCCCCAACATGGAAAAACATCCAGCTATCAACAGTAGGATGGAAACATTATGATGCATTCTTACTATGGAATACTGTATACCATGAAAAAGAATTAAATGCTAGTACACTCAAGAACATGAATGAATCTCACAGACATAATGTTGAATAAAAGAAGTCAGATACAAAAGAATACATTCTGTATATTCTATTTATGTAACTAGGCAAAACTAATCTCTGCTAATATAACCCAAAATGATGGTAAACTTTAGAAGGTGGTAATGACATGGGAAGAACACATGGTAATCTTGGTAGCAAGTATATTGTTTAGGATGGTGGCTATAGAGTTGGGTTCACTTTGTAAAATAAAAGGACCTTTCCACTTAAGATTTGTATACTTTATTATATGGGTGTTATTCTTAAATTTAAAAGTTTAAAAAAATTAATAACTTCTGTTCAACAAAAAAAAACTATAAGTAAAATGAAAAGACAAGCCCTAACAACCCTTATAGCCAACAAAGAATTATCATATGATATGAAGAATGCCTACAAATCAATAATAATTTAAAAATGCAACCCCCCAATAGAGAAACAATAGCAAAAAATATGAACAAGCAATTTACCTCAAAATTTTGTAATGAGTTAAGGCCCAGTTCCTAATCACTTCTCTATTTATATTCTCTCCTTGGCAATCTCATTCAGGTTTATGGTTTTTAAATACCATATATTCAGTGAATGACTCTCACATTTTATCTCCAGCCCAGACCTCTCCCATGAAATTGAGACTTGCATATCTAATTGCCTGCTCGACCTCTCCAATTGGATGTCTCATAGGAGCTCAAACTTAACAAGTCCAAAGTTGAACTATACTTTTCCATCAAACTTGCTCCTCCTGCAGATGTCCCCAGTTCAGTAAATGGCAACTTCAAATTTTTCTAGTTCCAAATGTTATAGTCATTCAAAGCTCCTGTCGTTTTTCACAGCCCACATCCAATTCTTCAGCAGATCCTGTCGGCTCTACCTTCAAAATCTATCCAGTTTCTGACCACTTATCATTTCTACTGCTATCACCACAGTGTAAACTATACCACCATCATGTCTTTTCTGGATTACTATAATAATCACATAACCAGGCTTCTACAACATAACACATGGCTCCCTCAACACGCTCTCTCAAAATCCTCTAATGACTTTTCATTCCACTCAGTTTAAAAGCAAGATTCAGAGAGAAGTCAAGATGGCAGCGTAGGCAGACTCTGAACTCACCTCCTCCCGCGGACACAGCCAATTTACAAGTACTCTTGGAAAAATTACCCCTGAGAGAGAACTGAAAACTGGATACGAGGACCTCCTGCAACAAACAACAATCCTAATTGAGGTGGAAGAGGCAGAAGGTCCCTTCTGGAGAGAAAAAATGCCACCTTCACAAGCCACAGCGCCTCACGGCCGCCCAGGAACAGCCCAAAGGTACGCAGCCCTCCCTGGAGGAGCAGGGCCCTGAGCCAGGGAGCACTCCTGCTGTAGGCATTTTGTGGACCCAGCACAATCGAGACAAGTGGCATAATATCTGACTTTGCCTGCTACTAAAACATTGGGGAGTACCCCCAGAAAAGCTGGTTCACAAAGAAATTAAAACCGGCTCTTAAAGGGCCCATGCACAAACCCACCTGTTTCAGAAAGCAACCTAAAATCAGCAGAAAGAAAGGTACATAGCCCTTTGGGGAAAAGAGACTCACCTGATAGGCTCTGAGTGAATCTCAGTGAGACGTGAGACCTCTCCAGGGACTGGGACTCTGGCGGTGGCCATTGTGGTGGCCTGGTGTGGGCATATTGACACAGAGGCTGGCAGAGGCCACTGGAGTTCTCCCTGGGGCCTGCTACCCCAGGGTCTGCCCCACCCACTAGGGCACCAATTTAATTCAGCTCAGCCAGGGCAAGCAGCCCACCCTAGGGACTGACCCCACCCAACAACAAGCCCTCGGGCAACTTGTGGGCCTGCTAAGGGAGCTGCCTGGATTCTCCACAGCCTGGTGACTGGGTCTGCCTCTGTAGGGCAGGATGTGTGCAAGGAGTGGGTGGAGAGTGTGGGGCTCCCAACTTGGAGAGACATGGTCCACTTCAGGAGGAAGGGGCACACGCACAGGGCAGGACTGTGTTGACTGTGTGTGTACACCTGTAGGCAGCAGGGATTGTCAGCTGCAGAAGACTTGTGTTTCTCAAAGAGTGACATTGCGGTTGGCCCCACCTTCCAAAGCCTGAAACAATTGGGTGCTTCCATGCCTGAGGCCAGCCCCACCAGGCTGCAATCGTCAGAGAGCTGACAAGGGACCGAAAGGGTAGAGGTTTATAGCAATTGTAAGCCCTTGAGCCTAACAACATGCCACGCTGGGGGCCTACTCACTTAATAGAAATACAGCAACACGAATGTGCTATTAGACCTTGCAGCCAACTGTGCTGGGACACCTCACACCCAATAAAGAGAGTGAAGGGCCGACAACAACTACATGCAGCTGAGCACTACAACAGCTGGCCAAGGGCAAAGCTCAGCCTCCCTGGGCACCTACGGGAAGAACAACCCCGCCACAACAGAAGGACACATGTAGCCCACACAGTGGTCACTCCTGGAACATTTGCAACTGGAGAGGAGAGGGAAGCACACTGCCAGGCCTCCTAAGGCATCACTTATATAAAGTCACCTCTAGGAGAGCAGGAGACGTAGCCGACCTACCTAATACAGAGACACAAGCACAGGGAAAGATGCAAAGTGAAGAGGCAAAGGAATACGTTCCAAGTAAGGGAACAAGACAAAACCCCAGAAAAGGAACTAAGTGAAACAGAAATGACCAACCTACCTGACAGAGAGTTCAAACAACGAGTGTTAAGGATGCTCACTGATCTTGGGAGAAGAATGGATGAACTCAGTGACAATGTCAACAAAGAAATGGAAGATATAAAAAGGAACCAATCAGAAATGAAGAAAACAATACTGGAAATGAAAAATTCACTAGAGGGACTCAAAAGCAGAGTAAAGGATACAGAAGAATGCATCTGCAAGCTGGACGAAAGACTAGAAGAAATCACCCAAGCTGAACAGATAAAAGAAAAAAGAATTAAAAAGAGTGAAGACAGTCTAAAGGACCTCTGGGACAACATCAAGCACACTAACATCCGTGTTATAGGTGTCCCAGAAGGAGAAGAGTGAGACAAAGGGGCAGAATCTATTTGAAGAAATAA